AACAAAAAACAACGACAACAATTTATGCCAGCGCATAGTAGTTGTTTTGATAACTGAAAAGATGGTTATTTTTGATATTTATTGGACCCTTTATTTTAATCACTTTAAATACGACAGTGAAGCTTGTTCTGTCGCCCTTATACCTATTGCACTTTCAAAACAAAGTTGTCAAACTTAATTAAAATAAAAAGCTGTCCGTCGCCTTTTGCATGGAATAAGCATACTGATTAGCTGCTAATACTTTTGTACATATAATGAACCGCTGATGTCAATAAACTGTAAATAGGACATTTCAATCATATCTTTGACGTCATGAGTGGGGAAGGGAGGAGGGGTGTCCCATGCACTAGCTATTCGGAAATCTCCCAAATCGTGATCCAAACAAACCCAAAACAGCCAGTTATCAGTTGATATAATTCCCTTAAAGACAAGCATCAAATATAGAACACTGTTTATATATCTTCTATATTTATTTGTGATAATCGATGAGATAATCTAGATATTATTATAATTATATATTCGCGAAGCTAATAATCACATTACATTTCAATGCCATAAATAACGCCCTGTGTAAAGCAATATCTTGTTTAAAGAAAAAATCATCTGAACTAAAAATCAGAACATAACTACATTTAAGAGATAATTCTGTAGGTTTGTTAATAGTCTGTCTAACTTGTGATTGCCATAGTTTGATAGCCAAACTAAAATAAAAATTGGGATACGCAATATTTAGCGACTTTAATTCACCTGCGAGTGTATATTTAGTGTATATTTATAATACACTCAACAAAATTACTCGATTCTGATTGGACAAGAGGAGTACAATYAAATCCCAAATTGTACTCTGTAGAGTCCCAATTAACTTGCTCAATTTTGTTGAGCGTATTATAAACAAAAAAATCGCACAAACTTCTCTTACAATTTGGAATTTATAGATACTCGTGATGTTTTGAAAGTTCTCAAATTGGACTCGCAAAACATGTACTCGAAATCGTGCGATTTCTTACAATAACAATCAAAGTAAGACGAAAGAAAAAAATTTAAATTTGTGTCTTCTACTATGTATAACTATTCTTTCATGGTCGAAGTAAGATCACTCTAAGAGGTTGGTTGACTTGTTTGGTAGGGCAGAAGATATGCAGGAATCCCGCTCGCTTAGCCTAGTTTCAACTAGTTTTTTTCTTGTTTTTCTTTACGAGTCATATTAATTTCAATGGCATTTGAAATAACACAGTATTTTTTACCACAAAAAACGTAGAGAAAACAAATTTAAAATAAATCACCAAGAAAACTTAAGAGAGGGTGCCAATTGGGTTATTAACTGACAATAGGCCAAAAAATAGTAGTTAAATGACATTTCACTAACAGTTAAATGATATTTCATTTTTTTGGTTAATATTATGGCCAGCGCACGTATAATTATGACAGTTAACTGACATTCGACCCTATTGGCACCCTCTTAAAAAACTCATGTTTTCCAACTCTAAAAACATGAAAATACAAGAAAAAGCTCAATGGAAACTAAGCTAGCCTTCAGAAAAACTGCAAAGAAAAAAAAATCCTAATAGTGAAAAGTCGGAGGGAATTCGCACAGTGCTGTTGGTATTTGGTTTAGTGACCGCATGGCATAAGTACGGCAAATTGCTATCCCGCGAAAACGGGCCATTTTTGTCCTCCATCAGTAAAGCTAAGCGAAAACAGCCAAGAAAAAGGGTAGAAAACGACATCCKCAAGACATTGTAAGCACGATAATACCAATAAATTATTATTAGGGTAATTTTGTCAAGAACGAGAGTCAAAAAAAATAAATGACTGAGCAACAAAATGGCTTTCCACTTACAACCAATCAAAAACCGAAAAATTCTCGTCATCCAATCACGGCGGGGCTTTAATTTGGACCCGTGCAAAACCTTCCAGTACGCCAGTAGGCCTTAAAAATTAATTTTGATACCTTTTTCAGAATTTGACACATTTGCTAGTTTAAGAAATTTAAGACCATAAAGTCGTGATATTTTTCGTTTACAATGGATTTCATGTTAGAACAAATAGATAGTTCCAACTCGAATACTCAAGCTGCTCGTGTTAGTGCTATAACCCAGCTCCAACCTAGCTAACATCATTCCTAATTTCTTGATTTCATGATCAAACCGAAGATATCCAGCGTTTTACAATTTTAACTTCAAGCCTAAGCAACCATATATTTTCAATCTATATTTCTTTCACGAGTTAAACAAATTCGACGAACTGCTTTTGAAATTCAACAGTATTAAGGCAATTACAAACATAAAGAATTTGACGTTAGGTTTTTACTTGAATTGCGAAGAAACGAAAATCAAGAATGGATGATGTTTTGAGGTCGTTATTTAGTAAAAATATAATATTAAGATGTAGGTAAATTAAGCTTTAAATTAACGAAGTAATATTTCTCATAAGTTTTTTATTTGTATGTTTAGTCCAGTCCAAGATAAGACCACTTGTTCGTTCACTATATTGCCTTTTCAGTCCAAGATACATTCAAGCAAAACCACATACCAAAGCTGCCTTCCTTCAGTCTGTATCTTAGTCGATATCAATTTTGGTCAATGAGAAAACAAATCAGTCCTCTGCATGTAGAACGGTAGAAAAGTAGGGACACGGTCAACATGGAGGAGATAAGTTCAAAAATTGTACTTGTATGTACGAATTTTCAGTTAAATTCCCGACAACGATCTAAATCGACGAAACTTATCCATAAATAAACTTGCAATCACCCTTGTCACGTGATACATAATCACATGACTCAAAGCACCCAATAAGAACCATAGCCAACTTTCATCCAGCAGACAATATGTACAAAATCAAGAGCAAAAGCTAGCGAACTGGGATGGTTAGATGTGCGCTTGACCGTACATATTCCCCATCTGTGAATTAGAATGCATGTAATGCGAAGGCATGTTATACGAACAGTTAGGATTCGACACTACCGGTCTATGGTACGGAACTTGAGGAGGTGGTGGTGGCATAAACACTGGACCTGAGGTATTGGTCAGCACTGGTGGTGGATAGTTTTGGTTTTGTAACATTGAATGAGTCGTTGCYGTTGGGTGCCATAAGTTTCCACTACAGCTCGGAAGGTCGTATGGTGAAGGGCTCGATTTCTTTGGTGGTTGGGATTCTTTACTGCTAGTGTTGCTGACTGGTGCTGGTGGAGACGTAGGAGTTGTTGGCGGTGTTGTCTTTTTCTCGCCACTTTGTTTATTATCTGAGGATTTTTCAAGCTGCCTCGATTTAGCACGCCTATTTTTGAACCAAACCTAACAAGAAAAGAATAGGAAAATGTAAAGTCAAAACTCTTGAACTTAACGGTACAATTGTGGTTCATTCCAATATATCAAATTTCAAAAATCAATACTAAGGGATCTCACTCAGTATTTTACGAATATAGCTAAGATAGCGATAAAGAGTTCTCGGCATTTGAATTGCGCTAAAAACCTGAACACGATGCTTAGCAGGAATTGGATGAGGTATTTGGCAAATGCTTTTAATCTTAAAATTTTCTAGAACTCTTATTAGTACCAATTTAGGAAAACATTTTCAAATGTTATCCCTTTCCACGGTTAAGTTTGTGCATTGGATCATAAATCATTGGAACTTTTTATCGGTTATTTTTCGACTCTTTTGGTTTAGTAAAAGTGATATATTCTGGTCTAGCATTAGATAGGTAGATAAACGACTTAATTTTAAAAAGGTTGATCTAAATAGCTAAGGGAGTCAATGAACTTGTGACCCTCTAAAAAGAGACCAGGCATCTTTGCCTTTGGTACCAGACATCTATTGTTTCTATGCGGTGTTGTTTGTTAGAATGCAAAAAGAGAACCAGCACTGCTTGGCCTACTGAGAAACGTCTTTTTCTGTTTAAGCTACGTGATCCACTGTTTCCTTTCTTAGTGTCTTTTCCGTAAGTAGTTTTCTATCTTTTTTAACTAAGGCAAAGTAACTATATCTTCAGCTCTACGTGGCTGGTTTCCCAGGAGCCGACAGATCGCACTTTACCCCTTAACATTTTTGCTCGATAAAGTAGTTAGAAAAGGAGATCCACCATGCAGGCTATCAAACCATTTGCATTGATGCCGAGGATTGATATTTTAAGAGGAATTTTTTTCAATAATGAGCAATAATGGCAAAAAGCGCCAAAAACTAGCCCTTCGTATGAGTTTTCATCTCAATTTTTGTTGGGTTAACGCTCAAAACCTTTTTTTAACAGTTACAAACTGATGTACTATGATAAAATGCTTGTTTGAAGCGGTATTTTCGATTGTACAAAGTTGTTTTGTTGCATTTGTGTTAGAATGTAGCTTTGTCAGGCTTTTTTATGGAAAATTTATGAGAAATAAAGCAAATGAAGGCCTAAACCTCATTTTCGAATAAAAGGTTTGCTTTGGGTTTTGATTCCACTATCATCGGTCATCTTCATTTCCAAACAAGTTAAACTTTCTGAATAACAAGATTTTAGCCTTGATTTTAGCCAAATAGTTTTTGGCGCTCACCGCTTGAATACAAAAAGAATTCTCTCTTATTCCTTTTAAGATAACCACTTAGTAAATTTCACAAATACTCTCGCCTCTGGCACCTTGATCTGGGGTCTCGAGCTCGATTCCTATTCCAAACCGTACATTTGAGGAGTAGAGTTTGCTGGGTCTCTCCCCGATTCGAGGGCTTTCACTCCAGGTTCTCCAGTCTTCCCCCTCCTCATGCTAAATAAATTCCAATGCGATCTGTGAGTTAGCCGTGTCCCGGATGACTTTAATCAGGCCAGAGGTTATTTTAGGTTATCGATAAAATTTGAAGGATTTTGAAAATCGAATGCTCAGTGTTCACCCCTTGAACATGTTTTAGACCAATAGTCTCGCTTGTATATTGAACATATTTCTTTTTCAGTCATTTACCCGGTAAATATGTATTAAGTTAAGTGCATGCTGGCAATTATAACCAAGAAGACTAGCCTGCGTACAGCCGAACGTAACCAGAGTTAAAGTCAGGCTGAACGGAGGCTAAAGAAGGAATGATGTGCCTTTCGTATACGACTTAAAAACTGATCGTTGAATGCTTTTGCTTGTTGGTTCCCTCTTGTACTTCAAAGTTTTTTCTTCGACTTCTCTGCTTTTTCTCCCTCCGCTCAAAAAAGGGGGGTTGAATACCGTTATAGATTCTAGATGTCTACCCTCAGATTGGCAAATTATCAGTTTGAATTCGAAATTTGAAACTTCGTTATTTCGTAGAACACCTTTAGCCGCCATTCGCATGGTATATATATGTATTGGTGTTAGAAAGTTTCACGACTATACATGATTGATTATTACCTGTACTCTAGATTCAGGTAGATTTATCTTCATAGCAACCTCTTCCCTCATGAAGATGTCCGGGTAGCGAGTTTTAGCGAACAATTCTTCAAGGACTTCGAGTTGATTCTTGGTGAACGTAGTTCGTTCTCTTCGCTGTTTTCTTGATGGATGAGCTGAAGCGATAAAATAAAGCGACGTCACAATATTAAAAACACTTAAACGGGTGTTAAGACTTAATGTTTTCCCATTAGAAATTGCTGAGTAAACATTGTTGTGGTACATACTTCTATAGCTTTTAGCATAACATGAGAATAGCATCGTCATGAAGTAGTTGGATRAAAATACCACTATCACATTTGAGGAAATGGCCAGCATGTTTCTCACCAACCACAGCGGCACAGAAAAGGCACTTTTCTTAGTTTTGACATCACAAAAATGACTCAAATCATTCATAATAAAATGAGGATTTTCGTGAGCGAATAAATGTAGAGAACTTAGGAGAAAAGCGATTGTAAAGTTGTCTAGGATTCCGAAGCTGTCAACAATATAGCCATAGGCATATGAAAATGGCGGATTAAAGCAGCTTGTAGTTATCCTAAGGCCAAATTGATAAAACGTTTATGTAGCCACTAGTTCACCTTTCATACGAATGGCTGTTGTTTCGCCAGCTTTGATAAAAAGGTTCAACGGAAAAGCGCGCGGAAGAAAATGTCTACCGACTATGATACCATAAACTGCATTCAAAAGGGATTATATATAGGCGCAATAAACATTTATAAATCGAGGGGAAAATAAAACTGTAACAGAAGGGAATGTTAACATCGCTGTACTCACCACAGGAATTAGAACCCATATGATTAAAGAAATCAATGTTGGGCGGTGTCATTGGCATACCATGAGTAGTTATCGGATAAGATGGAACATGGCCAAAGTACCCCGCCATGGAAAGAATTGTTCCTTCTCTTCAAGCAACACACGTGGCAAGAATCAGTTTGTTTCTGCAGGAAAAATAAAATAAAATGAACAAAGGATCTCTTTTGGATGTCTAATCTTGTTACATAACTGTCTACGTCCTGTGATTAAAGGGCTAGTTAACATGGATTTTGATACATAATAAAATACTTTCCTCTAGTAAATTCAGAAAGACATCACATAAGGGAATCGTTTAGCTCTAATGAAATGACTTTACAGATCCGAATTTCCAACTCGAGAAAAGATTTTACCAAACACGAAATGGAAGTCGAATTAATAAAGCCAGTGTTCTAACCTTATATTAAGTGATTCACAAATATTCAGTGATTATGTGATGTGGAAGCTGGTGCAGCCAGAGTGAAAGGTCGTGATTCAATGATAGAAGAGCTTGGCAAGTCAGTCGTGTAAGCAAACTACCCAAATGTCAAACGAAAATGACCACGAAATCGATTTCTAACAAGATTTGCCCACCACCCATGATTAACTGTCAATCATGTTAAGGATATAAGTAAGCCAACAGTTGGATGATTTAACAGCCACTTGGACTTTGACTGATCTTGATGGACAGATGTCACCGAAGAAGCCAAWCAAATGTTCTATTACCACAGGCTTCTAAAATGCTTTTCCGACGTTAATAAGTGGATACGGACGCAATTTTGGGAAGAAACTCACAAAGGAATTTCTTTTTGATGATATAAAAGCACTCTGTAGTTTTGCCACATCTAAATGGTGTTTTCATAAGCTATGGAAAAAAATTCTAAACCACATCACAAAGCACATTCTTTTCTTATAGGTATTTATTTATTTATTTATTTATTTTTTTTTTTTTTATTTTAGAACGCAGAAATTCCAGCATTCCAAGAAGGTGACAGAATTGAAACTAAACATGACAAATGGTGTTTGCTTGACATAAGCGGAAATGCATGTTTTCTGTCGTGCATCAAAGTGACTACACAAGTCGGAAGTATCTCTTGTATTGTCTTTCAGTAACACGTCCAGATTTAGACACTTTCACTCACTTGTCTGTCATTCTCAAACAACATGCATGACTATATTCGTCTTTACAAATCAATTAACTTCCTTTTAAATGGCGATACACAAAGTAACTTGGAAGTATGAGTTAGTCAATTGAGTTTGAAGATTGCCTACGGCGTACTTTTACGTTTTTAATTCATGCATGGTGATATTATGTGAGTGCCATGTTTTCAGTGTTGTAATCATGGAGGCGGAGTAGAAGAGCAGTGAAGTGTTTGTCGCCATCCATGGATTTGTCATCAGTCGCTAATCCACGTCGTTTGACTTATTTTAAAGCAGTTCAAAATATTCAAGGCATTAAACATAATTGTCAATCAAAAAACCCCTGAAGAAACACAGTTGATGAAGTATTTTTTTCAATATATTTAGAATCCCGCGCGATCAAAAATATCAAAATTTTAAAATCGTAAGGAAATTCATTCCATTATCATTTTTTTCTAAAAAGAAAACTAAAATATTCTGGAATATTTTTATTTTTTTAATCTTTTTTTTTTTTTTTTCCCGAATCCATTATTATATCCAATTTATGAGTCCATTATTTTACAAAGCTAAAGCTGTAGTTAGCTTGAAAGGTGAAAAACTATCGATGATCAGTATTATCCCAAATTGTTGACAAGACCTCAGTTCCAGGTCAGGGCGTTCGCAATATAACATGTAAAAAATGATTAATAGAATGTTAAGAAAACAAGGGGAAAAAACTAACGAAGGATTGCCAGAGAAAAACATAGCACTTAGTTTGCACTATAAAAAGAGAAAAATATAGTAATAAAAGCATAAGCATCATAATAAACTTGGGAAGATGGATTAGAAGATAAAGATGAGAGAAAACATCATTCGTAATGGAATACTTTGAAAAATGTCGGATTATGAGAGATCGAATTCCAAATTTTTTGTTGAAAATTTAACGAGCTGTTTCTGACAACTTGGTAAAGGTGACTATGGGTTAGTACTCGGCGATGGTACCAGATGTACATCTTGTTGATATTGCTAATTAATACATACAGTGATTCCAACATTAAAGATCCTATCGCAATCTCGGATTTTTTTWATAATATCTGCGAAAAGAAAATCAGGCAGGATTGTGGCACCGGCCTAGAAAAACGAAATTATTATCAAGAGTGGCCTAACTCAGTTGGGATATCAGTAAGTTCCGCGTTTTGGCAAATTCGCGCGAACCAAACTTTCAAAGTTTTATGCCATGTAATGATAAAGACATAAATCACGAACTACAGATAACCGATATTTTATTCACAGAAAAAAAGATCAAAAGATCAAACTTTTTCAGATATTTTTTTAAAAAATAACGTATGAAAATATTTTTCGCCTTTTTTTTTTTTTTTTTTTTGCGGGAATAAAATATGCCGAAGCGAACACAAAACCACAAAACCGGCTATTGTAAAGAGAGTTGCTTTGGAAAGTCCATTTTTCACACATGGCCTTGGTAATATATTCTCTCTATCTGTGCAAACCCTATTCGTTACAATCCCTTAAAAACACGAATCAAAAGATAGCTTTGTTTGCTGAACAAATAACAAGTTAATATGTGAATTAAAAAATTAACTGGGGCTATCAGTTGAACAAAAGTACCAAAATCTGTACATGTTGAGGGAAGATCACTTGTCGACAAATATCTCGAAAAGTGCGCTTTAACGTCACAGGGATCGAACTATTTCGTTGGGTTTAAGTTTTCCCAACACATCGAAAAGCATCAGATCAATTATGGTCAGCGAAAGGCTGGCCTATTCTTCTATAGCAAAAGAACTATATAAATTATTGAAAATGTTTTCAAAGTAGGCAAAGGATTTTAGCGCGAATCGCACGTATCTAATTGGAACAGAAGTACAAGCTCTAATCTTACGAAGGATTAGAATACGCAGCCAAAGATAATGACATAAGACATTTATAAGAATATATTGAAGAGACATAAAACGGATAGTTGGACTCTGTTAAGCTTGATGTAAGATCCTATTGATGAAACACAAAGAAGAAGGTTGTATTTCTTGTTCAAGAAAAGCAGAGATAGCAATGTGAGATACGATTCAACAAGTGCAAAGAAGTCTGACGCCAAGACTTTTACGTACCTCGGCTTAAATGTAAGCTATTGAAAGGGGTGCTGGAAATGAAGATATACTTCTAGTATCTTAGACGAGCAGTCTGAGGTAGTACACATCGAAACATTTGTTTAAATGAGAAACGCCCTAAACTGAAACGAACACAAGTCTTATTTTTTTACTATCTCGAAACTTATCAGACAAAGAACACTGAACTCTACTTAGGTCTAAGAAAAAAGAATAAGTCCTGTTTCTTTTCAAATCCTTCACAACAAAAAGTCATGCCGATATTATTAAAGTTTAGTTCTTTGGAAAACAATGAATTCTGATCATAATGAAACGCGCGTTAAAAAGTAAAAATTTTGTGCATTTTTAAGTTAACTGAATCGTTCATTTTGTCAACGTTTTTAGATGACTGCAAGAGTCATATTTTATAGTTTTTTTTTACACCGTTTAAATCGTCAATGCTGATTCACTGTTATAAAACTTTTGATATGTGACCTTTGATGTCCACACGTATTTAGCTCACTGACCTTCGTCAAGGATCTTAAACAAGTTAGTTATGTATCCAATTTAGTAGGCCTTTCCGCTACTCCATTCGTCTTTGAAAGATCTTGATAATAGGTGCGTTTTCTTATACCCCGGGGCAGTCCGACTACTGAGTGAATAGCTCGGTTAGCTAAGTACACTTTCCTTCCCTGCCTTTACTTCAGGGCTCGAATGTATAATGCAAATGGTATTATAAAAAGCTGCAAAACGATCCAGATTAAGACTTGATTGATGGTCTATGGGTTTTAGACACTTGGGCTGTGGTTAACCACATTGCAACATTTTAGACCTATAAGAAGAATTTGTTTCAAACGTCCTCCAAACATAATGTTTTGGGCGGAGAAAAAGCACTTAAAAGATGTTATTTCAGCAAGCAGGAAATTAGAAAAAAGATCTTGAAGATTCGAGAAGTAATAAAACTTTGGAAATAAGCCGTTATCCTCTCGTTGCATTAGCCAGGACATCGGAGACCCAAAATAAAAAGGCTTTTTGTTCTTGAAACACGCAAGTAACTGGGTATAAGGTATTCTCTGGTGCAATTGAAGAACCGACGCCTCTCGCGAGGACAGGAACTGGAAAACGCAAATTACTTGGCGGATTTCTTTGTTAGGTTTATTTATCAATGTGATGTTTGTTCGAATGTAGAGCAATACAGTGGCTTCCTTTTTTCATCCTTAAATGCCATGTATTTTGAATTTTATTTGCACAAATTGTACTCGTGTCATGGTTTCAAAAAACAATGGAATTTAACAAAATTATAGTGTTGTAAAATGGCAAAACGAAGTGTTTTACAAGCTCCCATTAAAACGATAGCCTTGCATCACTTGACCGAAAGCTAATGTCAAGCAAGTGTTTCATTCCAGCCCTGTCCAGCTGAAAAGGAGGCCGAAAACCAGATCAAATATCGCGAGATAAAAAAAATTGAATTAGTGACTTACAACATTAACTAAATTGTTCAAAAAATAAAGTAATGAACAGCAGCTATAGAGAGAAGGAAAGGAAGGAAGGAAAGGAAGGAAAGGAAGGAAAGGAAGGAAAGGAAGGAAAGGAAGGAAAGGAATTAATCGTCCTTTTTTCACGAGGATAGCACTTAATAGCCAGTGGCTAACAAACCTGTGACCCTCATTCTGTGATCGAATTGGAATTTAGGAGTTGATTTTTGCGGAGGCGGAGGGAGGAAAACCGGAGAACCCGGAAAACCCTCGAAGCACAGGAAAAAACCAACAAACAACTCCACTCATACAAGGACTCTAACTCGGGGCGCATTGATGAGATGCGAGCGCTCACACCGCTACGCCACCCTTGCTTCTTAATGCATAAATAAATAAACGAAACAAATATGGGATAAATGAATGCACCGTTTTATGACTCGATTAGAAGTAGTAACACAT